GGTGCGGATTTTGGGCTGGAGGCATCATCGGACCATTCTTCTTTGAAAATGCGGCTGCTCAGGCAATAACAGTTAATGGTGCTCACTATCGTGACATGATAATCCACGTACCCAATATGCTATTCCATACATAACCCTATACTGTATACTTTATGAATCAATAAAAAATTTACAATTTTTAATTATAAACCTGTGTTTTCTATCAAAATTACTTCTTGCGTGCATTTTGGGACACCCTTTACAAGAATTGAAGACAGCCTCTGTCTACCTCAACGACCAGTTGAAAATAATCTGCCGTAACTGATCAATAAAACACTATTCATGGAACATGAACAAACACACATGGTCAACCTGAATCCTTGCTCTACAAAACCCGATTTCGCCTGTAGACTGATCCAGCTCCCAAAGTGAGATACATTTCTGCCATTACCACATGTGTAGATGCAACTTTAAAATGGTTATTTGGGCATGAAGGGAAGGTTGAATCAAGGAATCCTGAAGGAAGCAAGAGGACCCATCTCCTTGTCCACACAGCTCTAGGTGCTCTCCACTGTCTCCCTCCACTCACCCCCAACAGGGAGCTGCTGATCACAGCGCCCCCAGTGGCCTGGGAGGAGCAAGGCACAGCTCCTTTCCTTGAATGTGCCCTGCTGGGAGCAGGGCAAGCCGCTGGCTGACCCCTTTCCAAGGGGCTCTGGTTCTTGGCCACTAGGGGCCACCTCTTCCTTTGAGGCTCTTGTGGAAGTGGGTGTCCTCTGACAAGGCTAACATCCCTTTCTCATTCTGGGTTCCTGACCCAATTGCACAGCTAATTTTGGTAAAGGTTTTTTTAAAAAAAATAATATGCTTCTGTCATATGTAAGATCAGAATGTGTCTTGCTACTGATAGAGTGACTTTCAAAAAGGACAGTACGGTGGCCTCCTCACCTGGTCTTTCATTTCGGCATAGACTTTCTCCGAGTTCAGTTCCACCTGCCGCTTAAACTCCTCCAGGGCAGCGTCTGCCTGCTGGGCCTGCAACCTCTGAACCTCAGTCACACGAGCCAGCTGCTCCTCTTTCTCCCTGGAAAAGTTCAGAGAAGCTTCAGAGTCCAAATATGAAAGAACCAGGCTTGAAAGAACACTATTTAACCTTCTCTAAAACAAAACTCAGATTTCAATTTTTTGATCCAAATTCTATAAAACTTCTCTTTGATAAGTTGACAATAACATTACTTGTCTCAGGGAAGAAAAGGGTATAGACACATAATATGTGTTCTGATCAAAGCACAACTACTTTCAAAGATTTCCCTAAAAACAAAACTGATTGAAACCAGGCATCTGCACATCAGACTGAGCCCTCCGATGGCCATCGGGAACTTGAATTTGGCCAAGTGCATTTTTACCCTTCTTATATTAATCCACACAAGAAGCAGGAAGCCTTGAGTTTTATTCAGGGTATCCCTGAGATACATGGATTCTTTTGTTTGAATACTCAAATATTTGAATATTAAAAGAGCATAGGAGAAAGCCTAAAGTGGTATAAATTATTTTGGGTACCTCAGCCTAGGCCAGTGATGGCGAACCTTTTGAGCTCGGCGTGTCAGCATTTTGAAAACCCTAACTTAACTCTGGGGCCGTGTCACATATAGAAATTTTTTGATATTTGCAACCATAGTAAAACAAAGACTTATATTTTTGATATTTGTTTTATATATTTAAATGCCATTTAACAAAGAAAAATCAACCAAAAAAATGAGTTAGCATGTCACCTCTGACACGCCTGTCATAGGTTCGCCATCACTGGCCTAGGCCTAGGTTGGCAAATGTGATGGACAGTTGTTACAAATGTTGGATGGACATTTGTTCTGGTGTTATTGACCCAAACAACTGAGAGTGGCTGCTTAGAACACTCTGTCGGAGGATCTGAGACCAGACACAGAGGAAGGGCTGCTGTGGTTGATGCATAAATAACAGCCCACTGCAGGAGACTGGGCTGCAATAGCTACTTCTCTGCCATACTACAGAGACGAGTCCCCTGTCACTCTTACATTCTGGGGGTTCTCCTGAAAACACCTGGAAAGACTATTTCATGATTGGGATTACAATTTTTCAAAGGTCTACTTTTGCTTGCTCAGTCTGTCTATAAATGGAAAAGAAAGTATATTGGACAATAGTTTATAAAAATACATGACTTACAGCTGAAATATCAGCTTTGTTCTATGAATATTGAAAGTCAGTTGTATTACACCATTTTGTCCAATAATTCACAAGAGCTATTTAAACACTTTCAATTTAATAGGACCAATATTTTCTTTATGTCATCTCATTCTTACCTACTAAGTTTAGTTCATTTACTTTATAACTAACTTATGGCCACATAAGTCAAAGTCATACACTGTAATTATAATCAGGTACCTATTATTGACCATATTAAAAATATATATTTTAAAAATAGTTTTGAAATAAAACCTTGTACAATAAAGCATGTTGCTTTTAATTAATAACTTCTATCCTGATTTACAAATAGAAAATATTATTTTATATTAAATAGCAAGTAAAAGGAAATGTGTGAAATCTCCCAACTAATTTTAGCTCCACTACACAGTCTGGAGCTAATTTAGTAGTAAAACTAAAAAGCAAAGAAGGCCTCATTCAATGTAAATCAATGCTCTTGTCCAGTGAAACCATGGCAAACACAGAGCTCTGCTATTATTTAGGAATTTTTGTCTTAATATAAATAAAATATCTGTCTTAATTTAAACAGATTATATTCATTTTAATTTTAATGAGGGATCCATTTTCATCTCTATCAAAGTCACAAAATGGAAGACTTTCAGCATTTGAAAAAGAAAATCTGCTCCTTACTAACATGAGCACAGTATTCCTTTTTATGATTCCAAGTAGTGTCCTGTTAGAAGCAAAAAAAAAAAAAGTGACTTTGAAGATTAGTTTTTCAGTGGGACTTGTGGGGCTGAGTATAAATCCATCACTCAAATGCCTTAATGCTGGGCCTCCATGAAGATAAAAAGGTGAAAAGAAGATTTGCTTTTTAGTTCTGATTTATTTATAAAATGCAGTAAATTTTTCTCATCTGGATATATAAAGCACAAAGAAAAAAGAAGCTGAATTCTTATATAACCATGAGCCAGCTCAGATTAAAGGATGCTCTGAAGCACATGATTATTCCAAAAAGGCAGTAAAATGCAGGAGACTAATGGAGTACCATTTAGTATTTCTTGAGCTTTACAAGCTAACATTTATATGTGCAGGCCAACCTTAATTTGAAAATCCTCCCTTTGCACATTTGTGTACCAGCACTTTTGATAATGATGGCAGGGATCCAGCATGCATTTATAAGGCTTCACATTACAGTATACTGCATTTGCTGCCAGCTTGGCATCTCCACTGGAAACTCCAAGAGAAACAAAACAAAATAAAAAACTTCAAACAAGTTTGAAAAGCAACTAGAAGAGTCTCCATTCCCTTTCCAGCTGAGCTGGTAAACAAGACTTCCAAACAGTTATATCATCTATGTTCATGGCTTCTATTGGGCCTTAAACTGGTTAGAGTGAGTTAGTAAAAAAACACTAAGATAGAACTATCACTTAAAATGCACTAAAAATAATACCTTTCATTAAGCATGATAAATGGCTTCTTATTCACATGGTTGCTAAGACTAGTGGTCTCTGCTAAATTTCTGTTTAAAAATGGTAACCACTATGGGTATCTAAACATTTGAAACATTAAGAGTCAAAAAGGATGCCCAGCCAGCATAACTCAGTGGTTGAGTGGCAATCTATGAACCAGGAGATTACGGTTCGATTCCTGGTCAGGTCACATGCCCAGGTTGCAGGCTCGATCCCCAGTGTGGAATGTGCAGGAAGCAACCGATCAATGATTCTCTCTCGTAATGGATGTTTCTCTCTCTCTCTCTCTCTCGCTTTCTCTTCCTCTCTGAAATTAATAAAAATATATTTCTTAAAAAGAGTCAGGAAGGAATACCTGGTAAATAGAAATTAGTATGGGTCTTAATATTGGAAAAATGACAATGCTCCTCAAATTGAATGCAAGGGACCCAGACTGGGTGAAATAATCTTAAAAAAGAAGAACTTATTACAAAGCTAGAGTAATAAAAACAGTGTGCTACAGGCCTAAGGATAGACCTATAAATCAATGAAATAGGATTCAGATTCCAGGAGTGAACCCTATCATCGAGCATCAGTAGCTTTTCAGCAAGGGTGCCAAGACAGCCCACTGGGGAAAGAATAGTCCTTACAGCAAATAGTGCTAAGACAACTAGATATCCACATGCAAAAGAATAAAGTTGTATTCCTTCCTTACAACATATACAAAAATTAACTCCAGATGGGCCGCAGACCTATAAGAGCTAAAAATATAAAACTCTTAGAAGAAAACACTGAGCTACACTGTCTTCTTAGATATAGCACCAAAAGCAGAAACAAGAAATTAAAATGTAGATAAAGACACTTCGGCAAATTAAAAAATTCTTGTCCTGCTAAGGATATTATCAGCAAGTGAAAAGAAAATCCATAGAATGTGAAAAAATATTTGCAAATCATATTTCTGAAAAGAGACTTGTATCAAGAATAAGGTACTTTTACAAACCAATAATAAAAATATAACAATTTAAAAATAGGTGAAGAATCTGAATAGACATTTCTCCACAGAAGATATACAATCGGCCAAAAAGCACATGAAAGGACACTCAAGAAAATACATATTAAAACCACAATGAGATACCATTATACAACTTAGCTTGGCTATAATCAAAAGACAGATAATAACAAATATTGTTTGTTTTGCTTTCATCGGGGTAATATAAACCAAAACCACCGTAAGATATCATCTCAAACCTATTAGAATGGCTGTCATCAAAAAGACAAGATAACAAGTGTTGGTGAAGATGTGAAGAAAAGGGAACCCTTGTGCACCATCGGTGAGAATGTAAATTGATACAGCCACTATGTAAAACAGTATGAAGGTCCCTCAAAGAATTAAAAATAGAACTATGGTATGTTCCAGTAATTCTTCTTCTGGATATATATCTGAAGATAATGAAATCACTATCTTGAAAAGATATCTGCACCACCCCCATGTTCACTGCAGCATTATTTACAATAGCTAAAACATTAAAACAACTTAAGTGTTCATCAACAAATGAGTAGATAAAGAAAAATACACTAACACACACACAATGGAATATTATTCAGCAATAAAGAAGGAAATACTACCAGTTGCAACAACATGGATAAACCGTATTTTACTTATACTAAGTAAAATAACTCTGGCAGCAAAAGACAAATACAGTATGATCTCACTTATTTATGGAATCTAAAAAACCCAAACTCAGAAACAGAAAACAGATTGGTGGTTGCGAGGAGGTCCATAAACCCTTTGAAGTCAACTGGATCTGAATCATTCAGAAGATCCTGGCACCGCCCTCCTAGTCACTTAGCGTGTTCCAGTTGCTGAGACAGGGTCCTGGCAGCAACGCCTGAGAGCCACTTGGTCAGATACTGCAGAAAACTGAGACACATGAAGAAATGTTTCTTATTCTGGGGAAACTACAGTCTGATCGAGGCGAAAGATAAAAATGCAAGGGAAAAAATCAAAGAGTAATGTAATATTATATATTTTGTGACAAATTCTAAGTGTTATAGGAATCAATAAATGGAAAGAGGCCATGAGAGTCCGTACAAGAAAACCAGACTCAGAAGATAGAAGATTTGTCTGTAAAGTATAAATAAAGCAACATGGCTAAAGTTTTAAACAGTTTAAAGTTTTCCATAATCATTTTGTGCTAAACTAACTTAGCCTAAAATATGGGTTTATAAATAAATTAGAAGAACTCTACCTCAGCAAATGGAAAAGCAATTGACATTTTTATAAAATAAGAAAACCTTGAGAGAATTATCCTTAAAGATAAAACAGCTACAGTGTATAGTAAAGAAACATTCTTTTAAAATCTTTAAACTTCAAAATAACCCCCAAATCTAATGTTTCCTTTTAGGTTTCCTACATTTAAGAAAGTACTGATCAAATGTTCCATACATAAATTAT